AGCAGGAAACAACTCTTAGCATGTTTGCTATGTGAGCCCTGTTGATCCTTTTATCTTGTTTAAACAAAATGCTGACCCTGCATAAGCCTCAAGGCAAATAGCACTGGCTATTCTCTAAATAAGGTTTTAAAAAGATAGCTTTAACAAAGTAAGTTCTTCTCTTTCTGCAGATCAAAATTGTAATGCATTCCATAGTTCAGGGATGCTAACAGCATTTTAATTTTGTGTGCAGCAGCTGGATCCCACAGCTAAACACTTCTCAAGCTTCCAAGCCCCACCCCCTCTTTAGGAAAAAAAAAACTAAAATAACCAGGCAGTGATTTACTCCCACCCCCCTTTTAAAGGCTCCTTACCTAAGTCCTCTGCATTCACTCTGTTGCTTGCTGATGAGATCCAGATGTGCCTTAAAATAAACTCTATCGCATGCATCTCCTTGCCCTTTTCTCTATAGGACGGAGAAGCTGGTGGAATCGCATTTCATATTTCTTTCACAGAAAGAAAATTAGCCTACTAGGCTGCTCAGACCTAAAGGCAGAATCGGAAACAATGCTCATTAAAAACCCTCTTATCTGTTCCCTTTCCATTTGCTGATAGCATCACCCGTTGCAGTTATCCAGTGCCGGTGTAGCAAAGCAATTAAAAGCATGAATTTGAGGTTAAGGTGCATGCAGATGGTGGACGTTGGAGCAGACTGGCTTGTGCTTAGAAAGTTTGCATTTTTAGTGCAATCTATTTTGTCTCTCATGTGAGTGATCCTTCTGTTCGCACTGACGGACATTTTTCTTTTCCTCTGAGAAAGATCCAAACAAATCTTTGTAGTACTTCCATTTGTCTCACTTTCAATTAATGACACTCCTCTTCCAACCCTTTTTCTTTGCTTTTTCCCATGGCTGCCATTCAGTGGGCTCTGGTGACTTTCCTTACAAAAAAAAAATGAAAGCAAGTGACATAGCGCAACAGCAATGCATCTATCTAGCATTGTACACATATTATCAACAATGTATCTTGTTATCTAGAATAGTGCTGCATCAATAGAAAAAGATATTTTTAAAAATTAAAACAGTACGGTAGATGAAAATACAGGAGGGCTTTTTTTGTCATTCCTTTCAATGCCACAACCTCCCAAACACATCAGTGGGTTGTCACCTCAGACAACACCACCCACAGCTCTACAGTATTTTGGTGGGACTAACCATCCAACCAATGCTGGTTAAATATTCTTCAATTTTCATCTGGATGAGAAATCCCCTGTACCTAACACATTAGCACATCTAGGGGATGGCTAAGTTTTTTAGTATTTAGTATGCACAAAGAACATGTCAAATATTGTTCAAAAAGGAGAGAGAATATATATAGTGTACGATATATACGTTTACAATGATTCCAAACTCTTGTGGAAATCGAAGAGTGCAACTCTCCAGAATCCCCCTTTTTCATTTTCTGCAGTCTGTAGGAGGCACCTGAAAAGATCTTTCGATATCTTCCACGAAGCCTTGGGTCGAATATTTGCACAAGGAGGCGAATCTTTATACACAGGAAATTATCCAAATGAAAAATGATTGCCACAATCAGAACTTCTTGCTTTCTCCCATCCCTTGTCCTCCCACTGATGCTTGTGCCAAACAAAATCTCATAAGCAGCAGCAATTCCATACCCTCTTCAACACCCTTGTGCGTAATACTCAAGAGGAAATGTTTTCTACTGATTGAGTTAGGGCAGCCAAAAGTGGCATAATTGCATTTAATCAGGGGTGGTGTTTTTTAAAATATACTAACAGGAATTGGAAACGTAACGTGTACCCCAGGGAACAGCATTTTGATGAGATGACTGTGATTAACATCAGCCCCAGAGCAAGGCTGGTCCAAATTTAAAATAGCTGACACGAAGGTATATAGAAATCAGCCACCTTCTGCTGGTGGCCAATATCAGTCCAATTTTTACAAAAAAAAAATTCACAGGGAGTTTTCTCCCTTCCCAAGTAGCAGAGTTCCATCTTTTTACAGAGTTAGCTTCTTAGTGATATTATTGGAGACTTACTAGACATAGCTGGCTCTTAATGCTATGGTTAGGGACATTGGACCCCCGTGTAGTTCAAAATCTGTGTAGAATTCTTGTGTCACCCACCCCCACAACATAACTACAAAGCATAAACAGTTGATCAATACATGTACGTACGCACTCTTCCTCTGACCTATATCAGCCTCCCAGCTGCCCCTTTGCGCTACCATGCCAGGAGAGGCAGGGGGCGGCCGGGCTGCCACCATTGGACTGGGGGCTTTCACACCACTGGCACCAGGGGCCTCGGTGACTCTGAGATCCACCTTTCACAAGCCATTTCCTGGAGGCAAATAGACGCACAATAGCGGAGACGCACAATGGTGGGGACGCATAATAGTTATAGAATATGGATTGGTTGATTTAAATATTTATTTATTCATTGAACAAAAATCTGGGTACAACCCCAATCGTGCTGCTTCGACCCGTGCGATTCATTACTGAAACTGCAACCTGAAACAGGAAGAACTGGGGACTGGAATAATTAGCCTATGTTAAACATTTAACATAGCTTTAATATTCTATAGCGAGCCATCCTAACATGCAAGCAGGGGGTCAACCAGCTTCCCCCTCTCTAAGAGAAGAGGTGGGCTTTGCCCCATCCATTTATCACACAAAGCCAGGGTAGAAAGAGAGACCTCGAAGGGCAAGCTATCCATTTCCTCGTTGCCATCAGAGAATGGGCTGGATAGGATCATACATCATCCTATATGTCATTTGCATTGAGGGGCTGATTCGGTGGCTGACGACGTCAGAGCAAAGATCCTCATTAGATTCAGTTGGGCTTTGAGGCTTCACAAGGGCTTTGGATGAAGCTGGATGCTGAAAGAAAGCCAGGCCTCTTTGCAGGATAGATTTTTATTGTACCCCCCCTTGAACAAAAGGGGGGGAACCTACAGAAGGAGGAGTTCTGGGTGGAGGTAGCTGTGTTACACTGTTGCAATAGAAACATCATGGAACCATAAAGATTCATATGCTTCCTGCATCCAAGTTGACATAGATGAAGCTTATGCTCAATATATGAGTTGTTAAGATGTCACAAAACTCTGTCTCTCATTTTTTCCTACAGAAAGAGTGTTTTGCCATGACAAAAGCTGTTGATTTTTGCCTTCCCTTCTTGCCTGGCTCCTCATTGGCTGAACTGCACTGATATCACGGAATGTTCACCAAATAGTCTAGCTGCCCAGAGGGAAAGCTGTCAGCCACAGCATGCAGGGAAATCCATGGGCTTTATCTATCAGGCAGGAGAACCCTTCAGCTGAAGGTCTGCTGAAACAGAGTAGGATCAGAGACAGACAGACCAGCAAGGAACAGCAGGATGGCTGGAATAAGGGGCCTGTGGAAAAGGTGACTAAAGAAGGTGGCACAATAAAGTTTCTCTCTGTAGTGTACAATCTCCAGAGGCTCATTCACATACGCACTCGTGTGATGAGGTGTGAACCAGCTCTAGAAGTTCTGGGGAGGTAGAACAGACGTCTAGATTGTGGGTGATATTGTTCTTTTGCCCACCCACCCCTTTCCTGGTGACAACCCATTAAATTCCAAAGGTGGGTAACAGAGAGCCAAGGAGAGGGAGCTTCGGGGTCCAAACTCCATCTAATATTTAGAATATTGATCTCTCCCAATCTGTAGCCCTCCTCTTAACCTCCCCTTTATTATGCAGTATTGGTCAATTTATGCCCCACCGGTTTTCTTCGAGAGGGGAGAGATAGCGGTGGTTCCCCCGTTTTCTCCCTTTTTAAAAGCCCTGTTCAGAATTAGCCCCGCTGAACTTCGGAGGGCATCAACGTGTGTCTCTTCAGGTCGAAGCAGGTCTGTTTCCTCTCGGGTCGGAGCAGATCCATCAGAAACGGACCATCCGCTTCTTGGATCCGCAGAAGTGGGACGCGGTCCAGGAAATATAATTTGCAGCTCGGAAAGGCGCCGCGAGGGTCTTGCTTTTTGGCGAGGGCGCAGGTGACAAACACACCGGTGTGTGTGTGTGGAATCTCGCATCAAAGGAACAGATCCGTGTCCTCTTCCACGGTTCCTGGCGGCGCCGTTCCCACGTTCCCAGCCCGGGAGGCATCTCCGTCCTTTCCCGAAATCCTAGCCAAGGTGCCCTTTTGTGGATCGCCAAGAAGAGGCAGAAGGGAGAGCCAAGCGCGCACCGAGGCACGGTGTCAGAGGTCCAGGACGGGCAGCCAAGCGGATGAAGGAGGGACGCGTGTGCGGGCTCCACACGTGACTGGCACCCTCTCTCTCTCCCCCCCTCCCCGCCG